CTCTCTTTCTTTTTTTCCCATTCCTCATCTTGTCACTTGTATTCTGTCCAGAAGATTTGCTAGTTTATGAGAGGACTATGACAAAAAGACTGTTTGCTTTTGTGTCCTTTGTTGATCCTGCCCACAGATGACCCAGCTGTGCTCAAATCCACACTGTAAGCGGACGTCACCAGGGGATGGCCCGTATGTTCATTCTTACCATTGCACCAACTTTGCACCCAATATTGCCTCTTTGGCTTGTTTTCTGAGACCAGGAATGTCAATCACTTGTTGAAGTTAGAGTCAGTTAATAGGTCAAGACCCCTGGCGATCTGAGAAATCCAGATCCTGAACAGTTGAAAAACAGAACTGTGGAAATGGAAATCAAAAGTGGTTCTGAACGCTCATTCATTGTGATAAGTTTCACAAAAGTGTCATGTGCCTGACCGAAACGGAATCCAGCATGGCATCCACACGTTCCCATACACGTGCGCAATGACAAGTGGACTTAGAGAAGAGCAATCCACACCAAACCAGATGAGGAAAATACACAGCGGAAGCACACAAATACCCAAAATAGAACTGAAATTAGTGAATTGAAAATCAATTCTAATTACTGTCCCTCCCCAATTCAATCAGCAGATTCAGTACACAAATTTTCCCAAGAATCCCAACCAGGTTATCAACACCCACAGACCAACTATTTACAAAGTTTCATCGAAATATCCAGGAGTCTTCTTCTTCCTCTGTCTTCCTCGAGCTCTAGCTATGGCGCCGCTTCCACTTCCAGCGCTTGACCAGACAAGCGTGCAAATGCCACGCACCCTGCTGAATCCAACACGTCACTCTGAACCACTCATGAAGCCCATCTGCAGATTATGTGTCCACTCAGCAGGGGAGCGCAGCTCCCAGGATGAAGAAGAAGACAAAAACTGATGAAGATGAAGGCCTGCCACTTCGAAGAAGACATGCAAAAGCTGCTTCGATGGCAGCAGCTGCCTTAACCCCAACAGACACACAAGTAGGAGGAAGTGCCTGTCAGTGCCTAGGGACCACAGCTCGACGCTGTCAACACCGGACCTGGCCGGTCCCAGCTTTGGCCGCTAGCAACATGAAGAAGATGAGGCACTGCGCTGCTTAAGATAGCGCAGCTCTCAAAACGAGACCTCTCCAAACGAACGTGAAAGAGAAAATGGAAAAGAACCCGACACTCTTCAGCCTCCAGACTTTTCTACCAACGGGAACTACAGCCTACGACAGACCTACGGTCTGCTACCTAACACTGGACTGCACCTGTACGGGGAAAAGGGGAAAAGAAACAATAGAACAAACAGGCCTACGAGCCTACAGCACACAGCTGCAGAAAAGGACAAAACGGCAACACACTAGACTAAAAGAAGTCCCTCTAAGGGAGAGGTAAAGGGGTCAAGCCCCGTAGGGCTCAAAACAGCCAAACAGAAAAAGTGCCCTGAGTGGAACCCTAGACTTAGCTACCACTTGGACACAGCGGTACTAAAGAAAACAGCCACAAATCAATCTAAGATCCATTCCAAAGAAACAAACAAAACACCACGAGATTTCCTTTTCCTTTTCCTTCCCCCCCCCCCCCCCCCCTTGAGACAGAGGAAATTCCCAGTGAGGGACAAGTCCAAAGATCAAGCCCCTTAGGGCTCAAAACACGAAACGGACTACAAAGTCGAACACTTAGCGCACAGCCCCACTGGGAAACTGCAATTTATTGCATTTTTACCCTCCCAGGGAGAAAGGACCCACGAGCTACTCAACCAACTATCAGCGGAAGTGGTGGGAGAGCTATGAGCTGTAGGATCACTAAGCTTCGATGGTTTCGAAGAATGCAAGGACTCTAGGATCTCGGAAGGTTTATGGTGGGATTATCAGAGTTGATTGGTTAGTTGAATGCAAGGGTGTTAGTCAGGAAGTCACCTTTTAGGCAACCAATCAATTTATGAAAATCTACTCGTACTGGTTCAGATTATCAGGGAATGCTGGCTAAATGAATGCAGGGGTATTAGCCCAGTAATCAACTGATAGGTAGCCAACAAATTCTGAAAATCTGACTATTGATGTTCAGATTAACAATATGGGTTAGTTTGTTGAGTGTGTGGGTGTTAGCCCAGTAACCAACTTTATGAAACCCATGAATTCTGGAAATCTGATCTATTTCTGTCTGGACTGGATACCAGTTAGACTTCTGAACTGCTGATCTGTGTATCTGCAAGCGCGATACGCAGATTCTTCCCTGGAATAGGGTAGGGTCTGACAAGATCTGTATATGGGGCTAAGCCTGACCATACTCAGCAGTAACGCTTGAAGTGACAGGATCATGTGTAGGATAGGTCTATCTGAGTAGAAAGTTAAGTTACAAACAGATTTGACTCTGGCCAATCAGGTTTAGGCATTACTGGGACAAAGCCCTGTGGCTAAAAGGAATTTGCAGGTGTAGAAGTAAAATTCAGAACAATGTCGCTAGAAGTGTGCGACCACAAAGAAACACAAAAAATGATTCAAAAATCTAATTTCTAACCAAGAGAGCAACACTCAGGACCGCGTAGGAGAATCGTGAGTAGGATCTGTACTAATCATACGTCCGCTCAACATAGGTCATCCAATTAATGAGTGCAGTTCGGTGTACGAACACAACCATGATTAAACAGCGAATGCAGCTCAAATAAAATACAAGTGCGGGGAAGTCAAACAAGGATGTGAGGTACAACCCACAGCGAGTTCCTGTCAGACTTCCTGTCAGACTTCCTCTCAGACTTCCTGTCAGACTTACCCCCATTAAACAGTTCTTGTCTTGGCGCTCATTTATCTTCAAGAGAAGATGAATTCAGTCCGATCGGTACTCTGTCCATCAACAAGGTTTGAGAAACTGCGAATTCTTTTTCAAGTGCAGATGATGCACAGGCAGGTCAATCGGATCATCGAAGGAATCAGGCTCGATGTAACTACACAATGAGCAGATTTCCATCAGCTGAACACACCCAGGTAGGTTACACACAACCGAACTGAACCCAATCTTCCTTTGACAGAAGGATACTCAGATGAGCAGGATCCATGCCTAATTGGGTCAGGTTACAGCGTAGTGGTTGTCCCAAGAAGGGCAATCCTTCATAAAGTGCTGCCCTGCACATCTGAGGAAGACACCAGCATCCTTCCTCTTTTTCCATAATCCGTATGGGATGTGCAGGTCCCTCGAGGGGAGGGAGGAAGGATCCATAGGGTTACCTGGACATTTGACAAACTTTGGCACATTCTGTTTCTGCGACCTACGGGGGCGCTTGCTAGATCTCGTAGGAGAGGGGGACCTTTGTCTCTGGATCTGATTGGCGCCCTTGATGGTGATCAGCAGTTCCTGAGCCAAAGTCTGAAAAGCCTGGTCTGGGAAACCTTCTGCACCTGGACCAGCTGAGGGAGTCGATCCTCTCTCAGCAATGCCTGCAGAGTATTCCGCAGACTCCATTGCGTCCCACCTCCCTTTACTCTTCCTCTGACTCTAAGAAAGGGAGGTGCTTCCCCTTTGGGAAGTGGACTGGATTTGGAGTTTGGGCTCCAGATCCAAGGCCGCTCTGCCAAAGGCCCTCCAGTCCTGGTGACCTGCAGAAAATAGGGCCTGTACATAGGTTATCAGGGTAGCCTGGACAAACTATGTAACTTGTCCTGATCTGAGATGGATAACTTACGGGTGGAGGTTAGGCACATTTTTTTTTTTTGAACTCGTTTTCTCGCCGATGCTCACCAATCAATCAGCAACTTGCACCGCCGACAACCGTTGAAGAAAATGGGCCACCGCCCCAAACCGCCAACTGCCGGCGAGAGAGTTGATGGCCAATCGATCAATCCGCTAGATGCACGCGGTTGTGGCTCTGATACCAACTGTTATGTCCCTCATTGAAACAGAATCCAGCATGGCATTCACACATCCCCATACACGTGGGCAATGACAAGCGGACTTGGAGAGAGCTCCACACCAATTTTCCCATAATCCCAACTACATTATCAACACCCACGGACCAACTATTTACAAAGTTTCATCAAAATATCCACGAGTCTTATTCTTCCTCCGTCTTCCTCAAGCCGTAGCGATGGAGCCACTTCCACTTCCAGCGCCCAACGAGACAAGCCGGTAAACCATACTTGCAACTGCACCGTGCGCCGTACTGTCCGGTTCAGCTTTTCTTGCTATCTCTGAACTTCCTGACGGGTAAGATTGGGATGCCATGTTGGGATGACTTGGTCTCGTCCTCGTAAAAGATCCCATTTTCTCCATTCCAACGTGCTATCGCTTGTCGCAGTGATCTTGCCTCATAGCAGCTAGCCTTTAGCAAAAGCTTTCTTCTTCGCTCCATATTGGTCTGGCCCGCCTTGGGCTAGCCCTTTTGGTTTTGTACCATCTGCAACGAATCTTAGTTTCCAAAAAGCCAAGTATCTATGACCATAATGCTACGTTCCGGATTGTTTGACCATCACTACAGTCTTCCCCCAAACAAAACGCATGTGCCTTATTTATGAATAGAATGCATGGGGTGTGTCGTATTTGTATACAACGCGCGTGCGGTATACTATGGATATAGGGTATCAACTTCTGACCCCCCCCCCCCCTTCCCACCTTCCCGAGAAAAAAAGGTATATGCCTCGAACAGAATCTTCCCGCAAACAGGACCTCCAGTCTTCCTGCAAACAGGACCTTCAGGTAAGGCGCACACACACACACACACACACACACACACACACACGCACGCACGCACGCAGACACACACACACACAGACACACACACAGACACACACACACACACACACACACACTGTTACATGCACAGATATGTGATGTTTGTAATAACCGAGGAACTGCAATGTGGCGAAAAGGACTGAAATGGACAATGCGGTGAGAGTATAATCTCGACAGACAATGTGCATTCTCATACATACAAAAGTGCTGAATAGCGCAGGGAAGACTTAGATACAAAGACTGACCTGACAAGGACTGAAGTAGCAAGTAGCGAAACAGACTGCTAGAATGTTGATAACTAGTCCAACCGATGGTTGAACTCAGACCAAACATGCATCGTACCCCTCACCAGGTGTGAAGGAGCCTGGCGCTGCACACAGGAAGAAAGCGCCAGGTCCAGACATGCATAGACGAAGAGGTAAGGATCAGACGAAAGGAGGGAGGAAGATGGGAG